ACGACATTTCTATTTTATTCTTAACTCAATAACATATTTAATAGACAATAGAAATTCCTACTTTTGTTCTTGTTTTCAAGAATTGCATTATAAAATTTTTTATTTTGCATAAAAATCCGCAGTCTATAATTACAATGCAATTGTAATTGTCTTGCAATTACATTGTAACTGTGATTTGGATTTTGTAATTAGATTACATTTTGCCCAACTCTGCTGAACGGTTAATTACTAAACTTAAAACATTGAATATTTCATCCGAGTCGCTATTTATCTACCACGCAGGTTGTCAAAACATGGAAGAAACTCGATTGTACTGAATTTCTCAAGGAAATGTTAGCAACATCACTATCGATTCTCCTAATTCCAAAGATTTCGAAAGCATTTCAGGTGGAGGCTAATTGTAAGCGTATTTCTCACGTTGGTGACACATTAACTATAACGTAAAAGCGATAGTGTTTGCTGTGTTTCACCCACAACTCAACCGGTGTCGATTTTAGTACGTAATTGTGCTACAGTTCCCGTGGAGCAGATTTTAGTGCCAACATTGTGCAGAAGTTATGCGTGTTTATACACAGAGAGTGAATCGCATTAGAAGGGATTTAAGCGAGTTGAAGCGAACAGCCTGATGTCTCGTCGTAAAATGATCGTATTCGTGAATCGTCGAGGAAAATGTTGACAAATTGTGTAATGACCGATGTATTTTCTTGGAAAAATATATTTCACTTCAATTTACAACTTACAAAGGCAGTTCAATAATACGAAAATTCCGATTTTTTTAAATTTTACAGGTTTATATGGGACCTCAAGAGAAGTATAGCGCAATTTTTGTATTTGGCCCAATTTCAGTTCTTCAGGGTGAAAGCATCCCTTGAAGGTAGATAGGTTTTTTGCATATTTCCCTGTATATCTTTAAAACTATGGTAGATATAAAAAAATAGTTATAATAAAAATTGAATGGTTTGTTATGCTCTATAAAACTATGCAATAAAATTGATAATTAATAAAAGTGGGGGGGGGGAATGTTTTTATTTAAACAAAGAATTATTATCAATTCAATTGCATCGTTTTATAGAGCATAAAAAACCATTCAATTTTTATTACAACTATATTTTTATATCTACGATAGTTTTAAAGATATACAAGGAAATATGGAAACACCTATCTACCTTCAAGGGATGCTTTCACCCTGAAGAACTGAAATTGCGGCAAAGACAAAAATTGCAATATACTTCTCTTGAGGTTCCCTACAAACCTGCAAAGTTTAAAAAAAGTCGGAATGTTCGGGTTACCGAACTTCCCTTGTTAGATACAGTCAGTCAAAACAGTCTACGCACACTTTTTAAAATAGAACAACTTTTTTGAAATTGGACCAAGTAACTTGAATGTTTTTGTGAAGTGAGAAGGGTTAGTTTACTGAATGGTTAAGTCAAAGAAGGGTTAGTCAAACAAAAAATTTGAAAAAGTTGTAACTGGTCGGAATCACGAAGAAAATAGTAAATATCGGTTTTTACATTTCGAAGATTTATGTTAGACATATACATGTTGAAACTTTTACTGAAATTGGTTGATACAGAATCGAGTGACAGGTATCGAAAGATGTAAGAATCTTCCCAGATAGCACATGATGCCTTAAAGGCTCCTATTTTGTGGCTCATTTAGGTCTAAGGCGTCTTTAAGCCGTCTTCAAGGCGTCATTAGACGTCGTGTGCTATCTGGGATATAACTGACATAAATCTAAGAAATGTATTTTTTAAAGTTTCATTACAGTCTCAGATAAAAAAAAGTTGTAAAAAGCGACCTTAACTATTTTCTTCGCAATTCTGACTAATTGCATTTTTTTCCAAATTTGTTTACACATTATTTAGTAAACTAATCTTTCCAACTTCACGAAAAAACTCAAGTCACTTAGTGTAATTGCAAAAATGTTGTTCTGTTTTAAAGGTTGTGTGAAGACTTTATTGACTGACTGTACGTGAAGAATGATGAAAAAATGATCCAAGGTTATTAGGACCATTGATTCATTCATCTCTGAAAAAAAGTACTTTATAAAATGTCTATTAAATTAATTAGATTAACCAGAACTGAGAGCACAAAAATCAGTTTTCTTACCTAAAATGGTAATTATCAGCGAAATTGAAGGTTTGATTTTTCAATCTAGGTTTCTGAAGCATTATTATGTATCAGTATTACCTACATTTTTAGTTGTGAACATTTTTATTCAATACTTCGTAAGTGAAATGGAGATTTTATTGTATTATTAGAATAGAGAATTCGATACTTTTCAACTAGCTTCAGCTTCTACTTTTTAGGACAATATGATGGACTGTAATTGTTCGATTTAATAAAATCTTCTACATTTTTGTATTACATATTTCCCTGTATAGAACACACAGAGAAAGAGAGTTGGAAAAATTGTCAGCTATTATAGTCTATTTACTGAGCAATTCTACTTATTTTAATATACTATTAATGTTTCCGAAGAAAAATCTTGATGAACATGAGTATAAGCTCAAGGGCCATTTAAATACACGAAAAAAAAATGGAATATTGTCCTTTGATATGGGTTTACGTAAGAATTACCGTAAAACCTTATCTTCCAAACCCCCGAAAATCTTAGAAAATTCTTCATTTTTCGTAATAGAAACGTGAAATGTTGAAGGCAAATTGCTAAATGCAAGAGAATTCAGTTATAAGTAATAGTGACAACAAAAATTGTTAAAATTCGAGAATATCAGTAACTTTGAAAGAAGATTAAACATGATATAGGTTCATCCGAGTTTTTTCTTATTTCTCACTCATTTATTAATCGATAATAATAACAACACAAACTTTCTTCATAAATTTTTCATTTTTATAAATAAAATTAGATATATTTTTAAACAAATTTGAATTGTTTTCTAGGTGTAAATCCACTGTCATTTTTACCTAGTACATCGCAAATGTACCTATATGTTTTTGTGCACATACAACCGATCAGGTCTGTCAAAGTGGTATATACTTTTATGGAATTTAATTTGGCGTCGGTGACCGAGGGACGACGCTCAATCGAATTTAGTACCGTCTATATTCCCGTAGTCCCTACGTTAACGTACGGATTCCTGTCCCTAGCAGATTCGTGATCTCGTTGAGATTTGGGTCAGGAAGCTATTACTCTGGGAACTTCGAGACAAGATATATTTAGCCGAAGAACCACTCTTCGAAGGCAATATTCTTCCTATAAACGTCAAATTACTAGTCACGTACTGGTTTATGGTGTTTCTGATAGGTACGACAACTTTTTCCCTCTCCTTAATACCTCATAACCGAAGAATATCAGGGATTATCTCTTAATTGCAACCAGTTACTACAAATTATGACAAAGTAAACAAATAAATTCGTTTCCTTCTGTTGGAAATGTTAAACGAACCTGTTCCTTTTTGTATTTGTGTCCAACTATGAATTTTAATTTAATGACTATATTTCCTAAGAAAATTAGTTCGGTATTGTAAACAGAGATTTGGAAAATAATTATAGGAAAAATTGAAATCCCAATAAAATTGAATTGGAATAATTGAAGCAAAAATTGAAATTCCATTAATCGAACTGGAATAACTGAAGCAAAAATTGAAATTTGAATAATCGAAGTGAGAATTGAAATCCCAATAGAAATGTAATAATTGAAAAATTTAATGAAGGACAAGCGAGAATAGTAAAGATTTGTAAAACTTTTGTATTAATCTGTCAAAATTGTTTCCAATGATTCTACATCACCCTATATACATGACATTTAAAACAGTTTAAATATGCAACAGTGAAGTAGAAGATTTAATTTACACCTACGATCTAACCTACATATAGGTACAGTGTCCCACGCACCTGGACCAAGCCATCGGATTAAAACGCTAGAAAGTAGAAACAAATGTTATTAGGAAAAATTAAAGGGTTTCGAGTAAAGCATCACGTCATGCATGTGTCTTCCCCAACAGTGAAGGCATTCCAAAGATTTGTATCTATATATTGTATATGTATATCCAAGAAATGTAACTATACATTATTTTTAAAAATACACCATTCGATGATTTTTTGATTCACTGCAAAAAGTTTAAAGGTACTTGGGTTGAAAAATGAGTGGTTGAAAAAAGTAAAATTAGTAGAATTAGTAAACCCGAGCGAAGATAAAACCGAAGAAAGGTTTAAGCTTACGTCCACATACTATACAATGTTGAGAAACTGAAGGTAAAATATGTTTTAAACAAATCATTTTTCGACCCAAATACAATTCGATTAGTGAAATTTCTATTTTTGCTTCAATGATTCCAATTCGATTATTCAAATTTCAATTTTCGCTTCAATTATTCCAATTCCATTATTCGAATTTAAATTTTCGACTCATTTATTCCAATTCGATTATTCAAATTTCAATTTTCGCTTCAATTATTCCAATTCCATTATTCGAATTTCAATTTTCGTCTCATTTATTCCAATTCGATTATTCAAATTTTAATTTTTTCTTCTATTATTCCAATTCGATTATTCAAATTTAAATTTTCGCTTCAATTATTCCAATTCGATTATTTAAAGTTCAATGGTTTATTCCAGTTGCGTGGGACACCCTGTATAATATGAAATATTCGATGCATCCTTCATAATATTATTTCATCTCTAAATAGGAGTAGTAGTGACGGATTACGATACAAATACTGAATTTCGAAAGATTGAGATAATTATTGTACAATCGCGATAAACAGCAATTATCAAATTTTCCGAAAGTTTAACACATTACCTACTTGCTGACATCGTCTGGTAGAAATTCGTTCAATTAAATTTCCATGATCCTGAGTGGATTAAACGGGTTATTAAAGAAAATGTGAGGAAAACTTGAGAGTATGAAAAAAGCGTTTCGAAAGGTGCTACTTGCAAAATTCGGGTGCAACTCCTCGAGGCACGTGAACCCTTGAAGTAATTCAAGCACATGTGCTAGATGAATACTTTTTTATGGTTTTTCTTTCTCAAGTATCGACCTCTTCCACTTTTTGGGATGATTACATATACTGCGATTTTTCGGCTCACTAAATCCACGTTTGTGCGAAACATATTCCTCTTCGTTTCCTTTTTAAATAAAAAAAAACTTAAATGTGTTCTTTAGCCATTTTAGTCTGTTCATTGATCAATTTTATTCATTTTAATATCTGAAAAGGCTGCTAATTAGTCCATTTTAAAAGGTCGAAACTACACTGAATCAGACGGTCTTTTGTGTTCATTGAATATTGAAAAACGCAAATCAAGGAAGAAAGCATTCGACATGAAAGAAAATACAGATTAATTTTAACGGTAATTGCATAGGATCAGGGACACCGTATAAATTCTTTTATTATTAATCTCAATAATAATTATACAGGGCGATAAAAAAAAGGTCTGATAGTTATAGATCTTATAGTACTCACCAAGAGGAATAAAAAATGTCTAATCAACGTTGGTCCTGAAAGCAATCCTTTCCCTTTAAAATCAACTTTTATTATCTATTATTGTTCCATATCATAACTGGTTCTCTTTGCAACACATTGAATTTATACACTTCATAGATGTAGTTGTAGTACAAATAATTCATATTTGATGTTCGATATGTCTTTCTTCCATTGCTAGACACATCTCACATCGGTAAACCATAAATCGACGTATATTTTTAAATATTCCTTCTGATGACATGGAACGCTAAGAAATAATAAAAGGTGATTTTACAAAGGAAGGATTAATTTTGAGACCTATGTTGATTAGACATTTTCTACTCCTCCCGGTGAGTACTATCAACCTATAAGTATCGGATCTTTTTTTTTATTACCCTGTATAGGATCACCTTCAAAGTAATTTTTTCTTTTATCTTTATACACCTTCGATGTATAAAGTCAGAAAGAGGGGTTAGTTTAAAAGTGATCCTATGTATTTATTGCTAAGATTAATAATAAAGGATTTATAGATAAAGTCCCCGAACTTTTTGATGAGACCTTGTACTTATATGTAAGTTTAAAAAGTTCACTGCGACTTTTTCATGGTCTCGACAGTAAAATAAAGATCGAGGGATCTCACGTTCAACCTGAATTGGACACAAGTTTATTCGAATAATCTCTATGAAAAACAATAAATTTTATCCTGACGACTGAACAAAGAATTCGATTAAATATTAGCTTGAATATGTGTCTACTTAATTTAAACGAAGTAATAACATTATTATGATAAAAATGTTAACGGTTATTTGACTGAAATGAGTAGCTAGATTCTTCTTATTCATTTGTTATTCGAAACGTTGCATCTAGATAATAAATTTGCCTATCTCTAACATTGATTATTAGTATTTATTTTCTATAGAAATGAAATTTTTTTCAAACTGCTTGCATTAATATACCTACCAAAAACATTTGAATCCTTTTTTTGCCAAAAAAATAGGATAAACGCACTAATAAATGAACAGTTAAGAGATTTTGTAACTATTAAAGTCGAATTTTAAACGATATCAATATAAATAAATATTAAGCATATGAAAATGAGATTTTTTAATATCTGTACTTTTGTATAACGTATGGATTACAATTTGAAACATTTGAAAAATGTAATCAATTAAATTAAAAAGACAAAATACAGATTTCAGCAGGGAATGAACAATATTAAGTAAATCAACATTTCTAACCAGTGGCACGAAAATTATTTGAATATGAAAGAAGAAATGAAAAAAAAAACAATATTCAAGCATTTGCTTATATTAATAACTTAATTTATTTGTTCTTGTATATAATATTCACTGGTGCATGTTCATTTACTGGTGCATCCATCCCATATAAAATTTAAAAGTTTCAGGTATTCACAGCCTACCTCACTAGTTTAAGATTTCCACATCACCATTAAGGATTAATAACGTACCACATAGCTTCGAGTATGATATACGCACGTATAATACATTTCTTCTGTATTATAACAAGAATGACGATGGTTTTAATTGTCACGAAAGAATTCTAGTCTTTATCAGAGTTGGGCAAAATGTAATCTAATTACAATATATAAATTGCAATTACAATGTCATCGCAATGTAATTACAAAACAATTACAATTACATTCCAATTTTACTATAATGTAACTGTAAAATTACAATGTATTTGTAACTGTAATTTAGATTTTGTAATTAAATTACATTTTGCCCAACTCTGGTATTTTTACTACAGGCTTGCCAACCTTGAAGCGTGCAGGTCCTGAATACGTGTACTTACGTTAACCAGTTCAACTATGACAAAAGTAGCATCGAACAACAATTTTGGTATTTGCATGCGATGCGAAAGCATTATTCGAAAGCACATTTTTGATACAGTGCTGTAAATAAGTTGCATGTAAGCCACTTCGAAGATAATCGAAACAACAAATGTTAATAATAAAAATTTATGTATTAAGTACCTAACGTGTATATTCTTTTTATTTTGGTAAGATAATTTTCAGATTTTAATTTACGACCTACCAATTAAAAGTATTTGTTATTCATTTTAAATACTACAAGTTGTAAATTATGAGATCTTACTTTTAAGCATTAATTTCTTACATTAAAATCTTGAAAAGAATTATTACGTAAATATTCAAACAAAAAAGTACTTTTTATTTTCTGAATTTGCAATAAAAGACTAACATCATTTGTATCACTAGATTTGTATCACTAGATTCTCCGATTTGTATTCACACAATCGATTTTGAATGTGCAGATGTGCAGAATGTATCTTCGAATATTTCGTGATTCAAATACACTGCCTTATATATTCTTAAGTTAATTGACTTACGTTCTTCAAATTAATTACAATAATATGAATACACGTATATATTATAAATAACGCGTAAGTCGTTAATTACACTAATAATACTGTAAAAATGAGAATCTAAAATTCGAAATTTCTGTAGTTGAGTTATTCAAGATTTTCGATTTGTTAACTAAGGCAACAAGCATTTTTGATGAATAAACTACATATTACTTATCATAATTAACCAATCAAGAGTTTGAATATGAACTTCATTTAAATGTTTGTGGTAGTATGGATAAGAATTATGTTCGTCGATATATGCAAGACTCATTTGATCTGCGTTTCTCTAGTGTACTCACATAAATGCTCAAGAGGATTTCCACTCTGGACTGCATAAACCTATTGATGACTTAAGTCTTTGAAGCACAGGTTTTACACCAAAAAATGCCCAGTTACACAGAAAGTTTTTCTATAAAATACGACAAAGTAATTTTATTTTAATTATTGTTTATTATACGTTCCACCATGCAAGTTTAAGTACTAAAAAGGTGGGCCATTTTTCATACCTCTACGCTTCAGAGAGTTAATATTTGCCATCATATATTACCAATGTAAACTTATTGTAACATCTTGCAAGGAAACCCGGAAATTTCGATTTTTTTCAAATTTGCAGGTTTGCAGAAAAGCTCAATAGCAGTATCAGACAAATATATTTTTTTGTTTCTTTTCCTATATTCCTGTATATCTTGAAAACTATAGTAGATATAAAAATATTGTAATAATGAAAATTTAGCAATTTTTTATGCATTATGAAACTGTGGCATGAAATTGTTAAACATTCATTATTAGAATAAATAAATGAATAAATAAACAAATTATTAAGAATTTATTCGTGACAGCTGTATGAAGCATAAAAATTCATTCAATTTTCATTTTAACATTTTTTTGTATCGTACTATAGTTTTCAAGACGTAGCAGAAAAAAAAGGAAAGCACACATTAACTTTTCCAAACAGTATCTTTACCCTGAAGAACCAAAACCTAGCAAGAATAATTGCTTAACACTTCTTTTGATGTTCCTTGCAAACCTGCAAAGTTTCAAAAAATCGAAATTTTCGGATCACCGAAGTGTCCCTATTAGTGAGAAACTCTTATGTGCATTTGAATAAGTGTACAAGAAGAACATGAATCAAGTGGTTGTGTGCAATAAATCGTACAAAAAGAGGTGCTTTCGAAAAACTTAATAGACAATCTATAACGAAAGAAAGTTGGCAAACCTGATAATTTCATTCAAAGCTTCTATGTTTTCAACACATTTTCGAATTAGGAGTAGGATGCTTGGTACTTATTTTGCGCTTTTAACCATTTATTTCGTATCTGCTATGAACTACTTGGAGTAATAAAATATAATATTTTTAATGGGTTAATACGGCTCTCAGCGTGGTAATTATGAAAAAATTTAACTTTTTAATGTGAATTCTATCTACACAACATGCTTTACATCCGTACAAATTGATTTCAAGAATTTTTTCATTTTTGTACTCTTTCCTAAAAATGATAGCATTGAACAACTGAAACGTAGAACTTACAAGGGAACACCGTGAACTTTGATTCGCGGATTGGAATGAAACTTTGTGGGTTTATAGAGTGATTCAAGACAAGCATAACGGTATGTTTCACTCGTTCCAAATCGCCTTTTAACGATGTGAAAACTAACCTCAAAGTTAAATAGGTACTGCCACGTTTTTGTATATAACTCTTAAAGTATAAGAAATAGAACAAAATGATTCAAACAAAAGTTGAATGGTACAGTAAGAGCTATAAACTTGCATTAACAAAATTTTGAAAAATGCTTTTTTTCTTAACATGAAAATTTTAAAACACTTGTTTCAAAGTTTTGTTAAGACAAGTTTATAACGCTTATTGTGCCATTAAACTTTTGTTTGAAACATTTTTTTGTATCTCTTGTATTTTAGGAGTTATATGCGAAAAAGTGGGAGTGCCTATTTGACTTTGAGGTTAGTCTTCACACCCTTAAAGGTCGTTTGGGCACGAATGAAACATACTGTCAGGGCAACAAAGGTGCCTCTCTATTTGGGCGGTCAAACCCAGGAGCGCCCCCAGACTATTTATTATATGTAAAATTTAATAAGAATAACAATCAAAACTTTTTTGATGATTTCTAAAATTTTAAATAAACAAAATTCAATCAAAGTAATTTTATATATAATCTTTGGAACACTACTCGTATACAAGAATTA